AATGCTGGTGCAATTTTGATTGGGATTGCATTGAATGTGTAGATAGCTTTGGGTAGTATTGACATTTTAACAATATTTATTCTTCCAATCCATGAGCACGGAATGTTTTTCCATTTCTTTGTATCTTCTTCAATTTCCTTCATAAGCTTTCTATAGTTTTCAGCATACAGATCTTTTACATCTTTGGTTAGATTTATCCCTAGGTATTTTATGCTTCTTGGTGCAATTGTGAATGGGAACAAATACATTTTAAAGACAGAAGTGAGCATAGCTCAGGGAAACTCAACAGTATGTCTTCTAAATTATATGAGAGAGAGAATCTTAAGCAGGTTCCACTCTCAGCATGGAGCCCAATGTGGGGCTTGATTCCACAACCCTGGGATCATGACCCCAGCTGAAATTGAGTCAGATGCTCAATTAATTGACTGAGCTCTCCAGATGTTTCCATGAGTGTTATTTTAGTTTTCATTTCCCTGGTAACTAGTGAAGTTGGGTGTATTTTTATAGATTTACGGGTCATTTGTGTTTTCTCTTCTGTACACGTAATGTTTTCAGTCAAATTTTGTTAAAATGAACCACAAAAGATCATGTGGCAGTTCTAGGTCATTTTCTTGTCAGGGAAAATTGATATAACATCCATCTTTAAAAAAAATTTTTTTTAATGTTTATTTATTTTTGAGAGAGACAGGGGCAGAGTGTGAGCGGGGGAGGGGCAGAGAAAAAGGGAGACAGAATCCAGAACAGGCTCCAGGCTCTGAGCAAGCTGTCAGCACGGAGCCTGACGTGAGGCTGGAACTCACAAACCACGAGATCATGACCTGAGCCGAAGTTGGATGCTTAACCAACTGAGCCACCAGGCATCCCAATATCCATCTTTTTGTATAAACAGTTCAGTTTCAAGACCAAGAGGAAATTTGTCTCAGTTATATACCCATTTGGGCTAAATAAGTGTAATTCCTTTTCTGTATGCCAGCTCTTCAACTATTTGAAGATATTTATGTCGCCTGGGAAGTCTTCTTCAGATTAAGCATTTTCAGTTTCTTCAGTCATTCCTCATATTCCATGGTTTCTAGTCCTTTCAATGTCTTGTGTGCTGTCCTCTGAACATGCTCTATTCTTTCATGTTATTCCTTAAAGCATGGTACTCATAACAACACAATTCTTTAGGGTTTATGTGATCAGCACAAAACAATCCTTTATAGATTTAGGAGTGATCATTCTGTTATATACTGATGTAGTTAAGATCAAATTTATGTTTTCCTTTTTTGGGGTGTGTGTGTGTAGCCAGTCGCACTACCCTAGTGATTCATTTTGAGCTTTTTGCCCCCAAAAGACCCTCAGTCTTTTTTTAGTACAAGCTGCTGTTAAGCTACATCTTGCCTGTCATATATTGGTACAGTTAGTTTTGAAGACTTAAATGCAGGATTATACTTTTTTTTAGCAGGTCCCATACCTAACATGGGGCTTGAACTTATGAACCTGAGATCAAGAGTTGCTTGGTGTACTGACTGAGCCAGCCAGACACCCCTAATAATTTTTTATCTGACATTAATCCTATTGCTACAAACTGGAGATTTCATTTTTATTGCTGATTATATCATCTAGCTCAGCTTCTTCATCTAACTCATTGATAAAATTGTTAAATAGGACAGGGCTAGGAACAGAATGCTATGCCATGAAAAACCTCACTTAAGGTTGACATCAGTCTGTTACTCAGCATGCTTTGGTGTGCCTGTGCCACCTGCCTGATTTGTTCTTGTCTCCAAAGTCTAGCAGCTGTCTTATTTTATACTTGGCTTTGGCCCTAGATTTAGAATCTCTGGTTCATCTTTTCAAAGGACTCTTGGGGCTCTTTGTATATGCACTCCAGTTGCCAACTCTCCTGTTCACCATTTTCCCCCCAGTTTTACTGAGATGTAATTGACATATAACGTGTAAGTTTAAGGTATACAGTATGGTGTGTGTATATATATATATGAATGATTACCACAATAAGGTTAGTTAACACATCCATCTTCTCTGTCCTCTCACATAGGTTACAGTGTTTCTGGGATGTGGGGAAATGGGTAAAGGTTGTCAAAGTGGACCAACCTCCTTGACCTTTGAGGCTGCCTTTTGTTTTTTGAGTTTTTTGTTTGTTTTTAGTAATCACTATATACACAACATGGAGCTTAAACCCATGACTCCAAGATTAGGAGTCGGATGCTCCTCCCATTGAGCCAGGTAGGTGGCCCTGAGGCTGCTTTCCTGATGTTGAACAAAGTTTGATGCCATATTGTGCTATCCTGCTCTTGACCTATAGCTTCCAGGGATTTCAACTCTGTAGAACTTTTTCTTTTCTTTCTTTCCCCTGCCTCCCCTTCCTCCCTCCTTCTTTTTCCTTTCTTTTTTTTTCTTTTCTTGTTCTTTCTTAGAAATCAGTTTTATTTAGGCATACTTTACATACAGTAGAATTCACATATTTTAAATGTACAGGTTGATGCCTTTTTTGGGCAAATGTAACCCATATAAACAACATTTGAATCAAGAAACCGAACATTCTCTGGATGCCTGGCTGGCTTATTTGGTAAAGCATGCAGCTCTAGATCTCAGGGTTGTGAGTTTGAGCCCCACATTGAGTGTAGAGCCTCCTTAAAAAAATTTTTTTTTAAGTAAAGAAAGAAACAGAACATTTTCATCTCAGAAAATTCTGTCATGCCCCTTTGTAGTCAGTCTACCCCTCCCTCCACTCTAGGCAACCACTGTTCTGATTTCTCACTGTAGATTAATTTATAAATGAAATTATACAGTATGTATCCTTTTTTTCTATGCTGTCTTTCACTAAGCATAATTGTTTTTCTTAATCTTTATTTATTTTTGAGACGGGGGAGAGGCAGAGAGAAAAGGGGACAGAAGACCCCAAGTAGGCTCTGTGCTGACAGCCAACAGCCAGATGCTGGGCTCAAACTCACAAACTGAGAGATCATGACCTGAACTGAAGTCAGACGTTTAACCGACTGAGCCACCCTGGTGCCTTGAAGCATAATTGTTTTGAAATTCATCCATATTGTTGCATATATGGGTAGTTGTTTTTTTAGTCCTTTGGTCTCCAAAGTTTAGTGTACCGAATGTGACTGGATGTATTTCCTTACCAGCATCAAGCTGGAAATTCCTTTTTGGTTAGCACGATACTGTCAGCTCCTGCTTCCCCCACACTCCCAGCCACTTGCCCTCCAACACTTTATATAGCTTTTTACCTCCTGTTGAGCTCAGGCTTAGATTTGCTCCAGTCCCTGAGCTGGTACTGTCCAGGGCAAAAAAAGAATAGTAGTA